AAATAAAACTGAAAAATGACCGATCGAAAACCATACAATACCATAACATTTCGCGCCTAGGCATCTTGCAGCCATTCTCTTCGAGTGGGCAAACAGTGATTTCTTCATATAAATGTAAATGCAACAGTGTGGGGTGTGAAATTACCCCGGCAGGAATCACAATGGCTTTGATTTCCACTCTGTGGGAGTTGGAGGGAATTTTCATTGTGCTTTAGGGGTCCATGGGTTGATATTTAGTTTCGGTATAGTTTGAGTGAAATTAAACAGGGTGTTAGGTAAATGGGTATATGAGCCGATACTAGCCCATGTTAACATGGTCATATAAATGGTATGGTGAAGTCAGAAAATTGATATCTGCATTTTAATTATTTTAGTTTTCATACAAATCGGATTTTATAAAATTTATTTTGTATGAAAATTAAAAAAAATAAAATGATGATATCAAATTTCTGATTTCACCATACCATTTATATAACCATGTTAACATGGGCTAGTGTCGGCTCATATACCCATTTACCTAACACCCTGTATAGAAATTAATAATTGAATGGCATGTTAAGTTGTTTTTGGGATTCGATTATACTCTTAGGACATATTTTATAGGAATGTTTTATCTCTAGAAAAAAAAAGGAAAAAAAGTAACATGAAAGAGATTCACAATACCCAAGAATTTTTCCAAAATAGAATGTGTTTGCTTTTAATGTGTGCTACTGAAGTGAAAACTAAATTAACTGTAGAGGATGATGATGATGATTCTAAGTAGATTTTATGGAAATTTTTCACACTGGATAAAATAGAAAGTACCTATACGGGACCACAACATAATTCTTACCAGTCGCTCCTACTTCCTTTGATTTACAAGGGAAAAGTCGTTCGACTTTTCGTCATCTATATGCCATCTCATTCCTTTCTATGCACATGCACTATATTGCATCTTGTTCTTTTAAATCATTTCAAATGTACCTTTACTCTGGATTGTGTAGCTTATTCCCTTGTCATAAGGGTTATTTAAATTGATGTTTGTGTAGGGTAGAAACGTCTTTGATATTCAAACTAATGGATTTAGTGTAATAGGATCAAGGAAACGACATTATGGTGCGGGTCGCAATAGTGAATGTTAGCAGGTTTTATTGTGAAATGTGTTTTTTGACCCTTCTTTTCACTTCGCCCTCTATTTAACTTGCACCCTGTAGAATTTGTATTGATTTAGACTTTAATATCGTTTTAATACTAGAAAGGCCGCCGTCCCATTTTTGTCCCATTCGTGAGTTTGATCGTCTCTAACTTTTTTATTTTTCAACGAAAGTCCATGAAACTTTTTGACTTTTACTGAATTATTGAATTTTATCATTTTTTAATGTTTTTGATAATATAACATTAATAGAAAATGGGGCGCTTTTAGGGGGGTCGTAATCTTCGGCACTTCTAGTGTTAAATTGTACTTTATTTCAATTATTTACTATCTTTCATTTAAATTAAATATGTGATTCCTTATTGAGTAATGAGTATGTATAAGCATTACCAAAACAATTTGTCGTAAATGAGTTAAATATTTTCGTTGATTATGGAGTCTCCATATAAATAAACTACTCAATTTATATACGAGTATTAAAGAATTTAATGCCAAATTTTTAGGAATAATCCATTTAAAAAATGCAGTTCACATTTAATATTTTACTGCTGAAATAGTATATAAGTATTTTAAATTTTTATGTCATCCTAGAGGATAGGCTTAGGATCAATATTACCTACAGTTGGACTACAATACGTATAGACTAAGAGCCCTCGCCCACGGCGACTTTTTGTAGCGATGCAGTCGCGCTGCTGTAGCGCTTTAGTAGTGCGTTGGCATCACTTCTGTAGTGCGTTGCAAATGCGACTGACGCGCGTTAGTAGCGATGCTGTCACGCGTTTCGTAAACGTCGCCGTGGGCGAGGGCCCTAAGAGCTGGTGAACGACAGACCTAACGTCATTTTATAAAAACTGAAAGTTTGTCAAGCCACGATGACCTAAACTTCATGATAACACCAACATTCTAACCTACTCGTATATTGCGAGCATATGCTGGCAAACTTTCAGCTCTAGTCTAGTATATTATGTCCTCAAAACAAAAAGTGTAGGTATAATTTTCTTCCAGAACGTCTCTGCAATGCAGGGGCAAGTTACGGAACCTCACCAAATAAGAAATTCAATCAGTCATTCCCTCCCAAATATTACCACCGTATGCCAAATCATTAGGGCCCCAAGATGTGACCAGGGGGCCCAACCCTCCAACTGCGTTAGTGGAAATAATTGTTTCCGAAATTACTAGTTTTTAATACATCTTACAATGATCTATAATTCCACTGATCACGGGCCTTTGTGGCCAGCCATGTGGAAACTGTCACTGATAATTGTAACCATTTTGATGATCAATTTTGGACGTTTGAATGGGTATTTAGATGAATGTGCAATTTGTTAAATGTAGTGCGGTGATGTTTGATTACGACTTGGAAGTGAGTTTTTAATTTCAATGCGATTGTGTTGATTAAACTACGTGTAAAGTTACATAAAGAAATTATAAGTTTTAAGATAATACTTTCAAAAAGTCATGATCATTTTGTATTTTTTTTAATAACGAGTTAGTCAAAGTCAAAAGTCGAAGAGGTAACATTGTGTTAACGCATGGTCTTTCTACAGCCTAGATGGAGCAGTAATAGGGTTGGGACATGTAAAACTGCTCTTTTTTATTTTTATTATTTATTTATTTTTTAAAAAGATTATTAGCAATTTGTATTGCCCAAATTACTAACTTGTTAAGCTAAATAAGCTTGTGTCACCTCACCACAATAGTCGAGCGGCGGTGGGATTCGAACCCGCGTTCCTCGGATCTCGAGTCGGCCACTCCGACCCCTTCACCGTTCGTTCGGCTATCGTGGCTATAATATCTTTGGGAGCCTACTTGCAAATAAACCATTTTTGATTTTGGTTTATGAGCTTTGGCCGCACAAATAACACTTGTGAGCACGGCGTAGTAAGCATACACTTACTTGGTGGTATTAGTGGTTTCGTAAGTTGTAATCAACCCAAATGTCAAATAGGTCTAGCAGTAACCCAGTGCCTGAGGTATGCCAGCGGCACAGGAGGGGTGATATTGACATACTAAGACGTTACAGAACATACAAAATATAACGATATCTGAAGTGTCGCTAATGTTTGACAGCACCCTCCCGTGCCGCTCGCATACCTCAGGCCTCAGCCTCGAGTTTAGCGGGCAGCGGGGCGGGAGCGGCGGCGGCGCGGGAGCGGCGGCGGCGCGGGAGCGGCAGGATCTTATGCGTAAAATCAAATAGACCGGTTCTGGAAAACAGCGGCGCGGCAGCGGCGCCGGAGCGGGCAACGAGCGGGCAGCGGCGCGGGAGCGGGCAACGAGCGGGCAGCGCACTCCCTCTTTTGCCCACAATAAATCGAGCGTTAGGAATAAATTTGAATCGAAATAAAATTGACGCCGTTGTTCAGACATTTCGTTTGCGAATAAAAACAAATATCTCGACAACACAACCCCGAACACAACACTTCGCGGCTAAAGCGTCGCGCGAGCTGCCCGCTTGTTTCGAGAACGGGTCTGCGTTACCCGCCCCGCTCCCGCGCCGCCGCCGCTCCCGCCCCGCTGCCCGCTAAACTCGAGGCTGAGGCCTCAGGCACTGACTGAGTACGCGCTACATCTCTAATATTGTAAGTAACGGCATCATGTTTTGCATAAACTGGAAAATTCCCTTCACAACGTCAACCTCAACCTTCAGTTAAACTAAAAACAAAAAGTTAACCAGTGACGATCACTTTCTCTGCTCGGCATAATCGGATTTGTGCGAGCGTCGGACGGCCTCATCTTGAGATAAATTGGTAGACGCGACGGCCCGGACGAGTCCCGACGCCCGGACAAGTCCGGACGCCCGGACAGTTTGAGTGAAAGTCGCCTCGTTAGGAGAATTATTGCTGTTCGGTAGCTTTCCTACTTTGCTTGGCTCACTGTTTTTCTGTAATGTGGAAAATATTCGGTATGATAATATCTTGGCTCTTTACTGATATTCACTGGTTCATATTTTATTATGTTACTGAAAATAAAGTTTTTCATTGTAGTTGGAGATGTGTTTGAAAAACTATTTTGTTGAAAACTAGGAAATTCAGTTTTTAATTTTATTGATATTCGGGGGAGTAATAGATCTATCCGGCGTGACCGTATTTTTTATTTTGATATGTATGTGCATTGTGCATAGTGATCAACGCATTTAATATTTGTTCTTACTTTAGTAGTAAGTAAATATCTTGACTTTTGCTGCTTACACAACAACTAATGAAAAAGAGGCTTACAATAATTAAAAAGAGAATTAAATTATATTAATTCTAAACTGTGCCAATATCTGGGGTGGTGCAGGTATGCAAATACCTATCACAGGCATCAGTCACACAAACAACTGTGTTTTATGAATTTGTAATGTGCTTACCTAATAACTTGTGTCATTANAAGATTCGTCATCCATATAAAAATATAAGTAAATCTATAAAATACTCTAATAATAATAATTACACTAATTTAATTATAATAAAATATTTCAATATTCAATATTCACTGCACTCGGGTCTGCCGGTTTACAAAAGAGATAAAAAATTTGATCAAATCGAAACATTTAAAAGAAAGAAAAAAAAAATAGCTCGGAGGTACTCGACTTATTAGAAGAAATTATAAATAACAACACTTTGATTAAACAAGATTACAAAACTTATAAAAAAAAAAAAAATGTTTACGCGAAACGAAACGCACCTGAGTTTCCGAACGAAACGTACTAATGTCACATTGACAAACAGTAGTATTGTCAATGTCAAAATTGATAGGTGATGGTAAATAAATGGGTGTAGAAATATATTTTAAAAGTGGAAAGAAGTCATAAACGATAGGTAAACATTGAATTAAGTAAGAATAAAATGTGGGTATAGGTACCTCCAGAGCCAATACAGTGAAAACAAGTACTGTCGGGTAGTTATCATTTCCCGGCAACCAGTTTGGTGACCGTACGTTTGGAGCGCTGCGGGGCCGAGGTGGACGCGGTCTTGCTCCTCTTGTCCGCTGTAGCTGGACTCTCTCTAGCCGGTCCGGCAAGAACAGGCTGCTTGTCGCAGTCGAGATCTTGCACATTATGAATTTGGCGACGCATCCCACCCGGCAACTTGGCGTATATGTTGCCGTCAAGTGTCCAGCAGTTTGTGATGCCAAACCGCTTGCGTGCCTCCATAAAAAGTTCTTGCCTTGGACGTGTGAGGAATTCCGACAGTACAGTAGAGGTTCCCTTCAGGACAGTCTTCTTTCTCCACACCGCTGACTTTATGGAGTGGTCCACAAACCGGACCAAAATGGGTCGTGTGCGACCCTTAGATGCGGATCCAAGCCTGTGGCATGCAGCAAATGTAGAGGAGCTAATGTCCTTCATGTCAAAACGCTCACACAAGATGTCACTTATCACAGCGGTGGTCTGCTCCTTAGGATCCTCCGCTATACCACCAAACAGTAGACACTTTCGACGATGCCTCATCTCCAATGCATCTGTGACTTTAGAAAGCTCACATATTTGCTTGCGTAACAGCTGCAGGATGCCGTGAACAGTTTCCTTGAACGCCCTGAACTCTTCATACAGCCGTACAAGCGATGAGGGCTCAGCGGAGATCTTGAGTTGTGATTCGAAGTCACTCATGCGCTGGTGCAGTGAAGCCTCAAGAGATGACTGGAGCTGTTGCACATCGGATAGTGTGGCCATGGCGAAGATAAGTTGATGTGATGGAGAACCGGTACAGGAGTGCAGTGAAGTGCTAGTGTCACACCATAGAAGTGGTGACAAACGACAGTGCGTCTAAGTTGTTGATTTTTAAGTACGGTGGCAAAGCAAAAAGGTAANCCTAAACGTACGGCCTGTTGGCGACCGCAGAGGTAGGAAGCGAACCAATTCATAACGACAGGTGACATATTGTAGCGGGATAACACGGAAAGGAGGACTTCATGGTCAACTGTGTTGAAGGAGGTCTTGAGTTGTGATTCGAAGTCACTCATGCGCTGGTGCAGTGAAGCCTCAAGAGATGACTGGAGCTGTTGCACATCGGATAGTGTGGCCATGGCGATGATAAGTTGATGTGATGGAGAACCGGTACAGGAGTGCAGTGAAGTGCTAGTGTCACACCATAGAAGTGGTGACAAACGACAGTGCGTCTAAGTTGTTGATTTTTAAGTACGGTGGCAAAGCAAAAAGGTAATAATATTAACTTTTACTACTTTTAAATATAATTTTACGAAGAGAGTGTTGCGTACTTTTTTAACGCCTACCGCCGAAAAAAGCCAGTCATTGTAATGTTTGTGAAGAGAAAATAAATACTATTTATTATTATTATTAATAGTGACTGAGTTTCTTTCGCTGCGCTGTTTCTTCTCAGCACTGGCCTATTTATTGTCCCGAAGCAGTGCTGGTAGGGTTTATACTGGGACTACTTGCTAAAATAAAATTAATTTTATCAGTTTTTTACAACTTTTGCAAAGTAAGAAATGTAGACGGAATATTATACTCACTAAAATAGTTTATAGTGTTTTTTTTTTTCAGATTAATAAGCTTGTTATTACTTTTCAGCTTTGAGGAAAACTAGACTCTACCTATGTTATTCGCACACAAAACCAAGATACCCCACTATGCACTGTTGCACGCAGTAAAGAACACACAAAAGCCAAGACTCCTACGCCCTTGGGAAATCTTCCGCCTTGTTTTAACTCCAAATTCATCACTATACATATTTCAGCTTTGGTTTCTTATTTTAAGAATCCGAGTGGTTCGACGGGTGTGCATCGATTTACCCTTTGAATGATTTATTCGATTTTCCAGCGGATAAAGCGTAATCGGATTTTGGTTTATTCGGTTGTAAAACGATTTACCTCTGTTTGAATTTGGGCACATTGTGAGTTGTGACATGGTTAGAACGTCTATGTAAATTATTGTAAAATGTATTGTTTTAGGCTGGGGATATGTGATTCGGTGTAACAATTGCGACAGAAGTGTGAGGCAACTGTACATTCTACAGTATGCTAAAATACATGAATGTACTGCGATGCTATAGCTGTGATGAACAAAACATGTTTCTTCTATCTACACTAATATTATAAAGAGGAAAACTTTGTTTGTTTGTTTGGTTGTAATGAATAGGCTCAAAAACTACTGGACCGTTTTTAAAAATTCCTTTACCATTCGAAAGCTACATTATCCACGAGTAACATAGGCTAAATTTTATTTAAAAAAAAAATAGGGTTCCGTAAAATATGTAGATAATGTAGTTCACGCGCGCGAAGCCGCGGGCGGAAAGCTAGTGTTACAATAAACAAGTTAAATTATTATCAAATTACAATTTACATTGCTAGGTAACACCTAACTTTGACCGTAACTATACTTAACGATAACCGGTGTATTTTGTATGAAGTTTGACAGATTTTTTACGTTTGTTAAAGTTTAAGTAAGATGGTGCAATTTACTCAGCCTTAGAATGGTAATGTACAAAAGCCGGTGAACCAAAAATTATCCAAAAAGACAATAATTGAGCTATCCGATAACTTAATTTCTACCTTTGCGAATACAAGAACCGTAATTCGGAAGTGGGAACGACGTTCAAAAGTGGGAATGACCTCGTTACCACCTCTCAGTGTAATAGCAGTAACAGTGTTACAAGTTTTGAAGCGCCCCTCATTATCATCTCGGAGGTACGGTGGGAAAATCCATTCTGCGCGGTGAAAAAACGCTTTTTTTGCTGCGAGGCGACAATCCCGTCACTCAGCCCGCGTAACTGCGAGTAGTAAAACAACGAGATGTCGCCCGTGTAGAGTGCCCGGCGATGCAGACGAGCGTTTTTTTAAACGCCATCACTATTTTTTTGTGTGTTGTTTTACCGTGCCATAAAGCTTTCTGTAAATGCATTTCTTCACACTTATTTTTATATCTGTACATCTATGCATTGTAATAGTTTTAAATTAACTTTTTATTTATTTATATGTTTACAAATATTGACTCGTATTAATAAAACATTGTTTTGTTGCAGGTAAGCAAACATTTCTAAGCCTTATGAGAAATCCTTGTAAGTAAATAGTTAAGGTAATCTCTTTTATTTCATGTTTTACAAAAATTTTAAGAGTCTATTTTACAGATTAATTTGTGAGATAACATTTTTATGGATAGTAGAGTTTTTTCTTTATAAAGTAGATCCAAAAAGCGTTATTTTATTATCCTTTCATGAGTAACTTAACTATAGAAAGAAAAAAACCTAACCTAATCAAAATTTAAAATTTTGTGAACGCTTTATAAATAATATGATCGATTTTATAATCGCTCGTCTGCTCAGCCGCTCTTCAAAATGCAACAAAAGTGCTCGCACGCGCGCGATTTTACTTTTTAGTACTTTTAAGGCGATTAGTGTCCTCAATCCGCGCTAAATGGGCATTTTGTAAAGCCTACTCCTCTTTTACTGCTGGACAGAAATAGTTGAAAAAAATATATNTGCTATGGGTCACATCAAATAACATTTTAATTATGAAAATCGGTGTCCTACGTCGTCGTCGTTAAAGAAACTGTCCATAATCAGAATGTTATTTTCGTAAAACAGTATTTTGAAATGAATGATATATTATATCAGTCACTCTGGTTCTTCTAAGGATCTCCTAATTTCTGATTCGATCACGCAGGGAAACTCCGAGCATAGCACGCTCCATCGCTCTTTGGGTGACCTTGAGCCTTCTTATGAGGCCCCATAGTAAGCGACCACGTCTCAGATCCGTATACCATCACTTGCAACACACACTGGTCAAATACTTGACTTGAGACACTGCGGTATTTCGGACGTGTGAATATCGCGAAGCTTCCCGAACGCTGCCTTTCGGCTGAAACGAATGATATACTATGTCGCCCTGTTATGCCTTCGTCCTGTGACGTATACCGTTTTCATCAGGTATGCGAGCGCCACGGCCGAAGACTCCTCTGCCAGTTGGTGGGCGACAGTCTGCTGGAACCGTTCTGGCCGACCGGGTCTGGTTGCGCGCGCGGGTTCCTATCGGCGTTGGACGCCGCGTGGGCGGTGCGTGCTTGGGGACAGAACCCGCTACCGCATCCCTTGGAGGTCATCGCCGAGCGGGAGTCCATATACCGGCTGCTGGGTGAGTTGGATATACTAAAGCCTGGTCCGTGAGCACGTAGAATCCCGTCCAATGACCCCAAGCTACCCATCCCTATCGCTCGCGCGTGATTATGTTGCTGTCGCGCTCGTACACTCACTGCGGGCGCCCGTCGCACAGTCGCGACAGCAACATAATTACGCGCGAGCGATAGGGATGGGTAGCTTGGGGTCATTGGACGGGATTCTACGTGCTCACGGACCAGGCTTTAGTATATCCAACTCACCCAGCAGCCGGTATATGGACTCCCGCTCGGCGATGACCTCCAAGGGATGCGGTNACCGCCGAAAGGTTATATGCAGTATTTTTTTAACAGATAGAGTGATTCAAGAGGAAGGTTTATATGTAAACTTAGCACCCGTACGAAGTTGGGGCGGGTCGCTAGTTTCGCTAGTTAATAAATAATGTACTACACGGGAGATGGCCAATAATCTAGTGAAGGTCGCGGGAATTTCCTGGATGTGGGCAGCGCAGGACCGATCGTTGTAGAAATCCTTGGAGTCCTTTGTACAGCTGTAGATGTCATTTGACTAAAACGAAATAAAGTAATTCAAACATAACAATCTATTAAACGTCTTTTTATCCTGTCCACAAAACCACAAATGACTTGGAGTTAGTAGTAACACTCATATTTTAGCGCTTAGCGCTCGCAAAGCCGCGCTTTGTTGTGTGAGCTAAAAGACCAGTGCTAAATAAAGTATTGTTTTACTAACACATAACCGAGGTATTGCGTTAACTTATTTACTTTCATAATTTGTTTGTTTTTCTAGACTCCGTGTTTTTCCTTCATATAATGTTTTAAGCTGAGTGAACAATTTTATTGCGAAGGCGCTGGATGCAGGCCACTACCAACTGGTCAATATGAAAATTAACATTGGACGTCCTATGGCAGAAATAATGATGATGAGGAAACGCAGCGTTTGTTAGTCTTTTAATCCGTCAGTTAATCTGAGACAATTAGAGGTTGAACTGACATAGATTCTTCAAATCAAATCAAATAATTCATTTTTAAAATAGGTGACTGAATTCAGGTGGTACAAATAGTGAGGGAAGTCGAACCTTAATTTCGAACTCCTCCTATGTTCTTCTGATTAATTTCGATGCGGGTTTAACTTTCCCCCGGGACAAACTTGACCTTCACTGGTTGGGTTTTTGTGACGGTCAAGCTGTAGATCCTGGCTACACAGGAGTTGCAGTGGTGGGAACGAGAGGTTGGAATAGTCCCGTAAATAGTGAGTGAGCTTCATGTTTGGCCTATAGCGTACATTATTTGTCTCATATAAAGATACATACAAATCAATAATTACATTACACATGATAGTTTGTTGTCAAAGGTCCCGTTTATTGTTAAAGAAATAAAAAAAATCGTTGTGGATAAAAAAAATACCAGTTCTACTTATAGATGATCAACGCTGAACTGTCCCACCAAACTCAATGACAGGGGGGCGCTACCGTCGGTCAACTATATTGTTTCCAATATGGCAAAAATAGGAACCAGCGATCCGGTATACACGGTGGCGCCCCACTGTCAGTGTCATGGATATGACAGTTCAGTATTTTGGAACTATACCCGAACGATATATTGAAATCTTCAGCCTCATACACCAATATACAGGGTGTTAGGTAAATGGGTATATGAGCCGACACTAGCCCATGTTAACATGGTCATATAAATGGTATGGTGAAGTCAAAAATTTGATATCATCATTTTATTTTTTTTAATTTTCATACAAAATTAATTTTATAAAATCCGATTTGTATGAAATGGGCTAGTGTCGGCTCATATACCCATTTACCTAACACCCTGTACTTATATATTATCCGTATCTCTTCATTTTGTACGTCAACTGAGTGCGTCTTTTATCATGGTTAACATGCCAAAAAACTGTATAATGTTATCCCAATATGCAATATAGGGGGCGTTCCGCATAATTTGCGTTACGTCACAGTGAAATTTAAAAGTAAATCGTCTTCGTACATGTTTGCCATTTCTTACAAAGGCACTCGGAACTATTCCCACCTTTCGTTCCCACCGCTGCAACTCCTGTGTAGCCAGGATCTACATCTTGACCGCCAATAAAAACCCAACCAGTGAAGGTCACGTTTGTCCCGAGAGAAGGTTAAACTTTCATTGGACCCGCAACGAACGAAATAAGCTACTGTTGTATTATTTTACCCCTATTAAAGAATAATTTGTCTTTTTTTTCTTCTTCCTTCTTCAACGTATTATCTACTTTATTTCCAGCTATCGAAACTTATACCAAAATTGGACAAAAATACTAGTACCAAAAATAACACAACCCTGTCTTTACAGAAACTTAACTTAACAGAAAAGTCTTTCGTACCGACTCAAGTATACGGTCATTTTACTGTTCTTCTTTACTATGGTTCCATAGGCAACGCGGTGTGTTCCGTTCCACGCAATTTGTCCCTTCCACAAACGGTTGGTTTTAAATGCGAATGAAAACCTTTGTTGGGAGGACATTATTATTTATTGCAGGGTGGATTTTTGACGAATTTTTCATGCCCTTAATGGAAATGGACCGGGAGATGGGACGCCTACACAAATTGCGTCTTGGTATTTCTTCTCACCTTTTAAATGTTTGATTGAAATGTCCATTTTATAGAGGGTGTTAGGTAAATGGGTATATGAACCGACACTAGCCCATGTTAACATGGGCATATAAATGGTATGGTGAAGTCAGAATATTGATATTATTATATTCGTTTCAATTATTTTAATTTTCATACAAATCGGATTTAGTAAAATTTATTTTGTAAGATCTCTTATTTGTAGATTGTGTTAGATCTAGACTATTGACGCAAACTGGTGAAAATAATGTTCTATTGATTTTTAGCGAGAAAATTCCATGGCTACCCTAAAATTTTCGTCTTGTGCCTGAAAGTCTCAGCAATGCGTGTTTTTTGTTATCACTACATAATATAAAACAACATGCAGGCCGCTACCAACCGTGCGATGTGGAAGTCATTGGGGGAGGCCTATGTTCAGCAGTGGACGTCCTGTGGCTGAAATGATGATGTCTAATCACTCTTTATGAATATAAAACAATGTCGCTTTCTTGTCTGTCTGTCCCTATGTATCTATGCTTAGATCTTTAAAACCACGCAACGGATTTTGATGCAGTTTTTTAATAGAGTGATTCAAGAGGAAGGTTTTTAAGTATAATACATTGTATGTACCTACCTGTGCAAAGCAGAGGCGGGTCGCTAGTAAATAAATAAAAGATTTCACAATAAATTGTAACTCACTTGTAACATGCATCAACTAGAGGTATAAATAAACGGTCAATCATCATGACTCAGTCTAAATATACCCGTGGTCACATCACACTTATATGTATGTAATGTCCCCAACAGGACCCAAACCCTTAACCGCAAGTAGCCAAGTCAACGCATCTTTAATGTAACATCCTCAACATACAAACTCATTAAATTTCCCCAATCACGTATTTCAAGTATAAACCTCATTTGCCTGCACATTCGTTAATACCAACGATAAACAATTACCCGCATGGGATAATGGCGTAGTGTTGTGCCAATAATCGATATTAATTCAGGTGACATGCCGGAGCCGGTTCGATTTAATAGAGTCTGCACCGATGCAGGCTCGTAAATAGGGAGATTGCCTTACAAAGATGCTAGGGATGGGACACGTGTTTCGTTTATCGATAATCGTTTTGGATATTGAGTTACCTATAGTTATACTTCGTCGCTGCATCCTCGAGATTTTCATATTTACCAGGTAGTCCACTTCTCATTGTACTAGGCATCGGATGCAGCGACTCGTATAATTACGGTCAAACTTCACTTAAGGTAAGTTTGTTTAACCATAAATAAGAGCCATTACACATATCAGAAGTGTTGATACGAAGTTGCAGTAGTTTTCAATTCACGGATTCGGTTTTTTTTTACCAAAAGTCTATTTAAGCGTATTTCTTTATCTTTTATCCAGTCCAGTACTACTAGTATTTAACCTCTTGGCTTGTTTCTCACCTGATGGTAAGTGATGATAAGTAAGCCTAATATTATAAAGCAGAGAAGTGTTTGATTGTTATTGTTGGCTAATCTCAGGAAGATCTGGCCATCATTTATCGAGGAAGGCTATGACCAAGAGATGTAGAGCATAAATGAAAAATGTTGCGTAAACGGAAAAATATTTTAATTATTTTCACGCGTAGGTGTGCACAAAGCCGTGGGCACATCTAGTCAAGTATAAACGTGGCTTAGATCGGGGGACTGCACGGTAATCGTGTCAATATTTTGTGACTAGAATAGGTACATCAAAAGTCAACGTGGACTTTTTAATAATTCATTATTTAGGTACACTCGACACTTTAATGGCGTAATATCAAAGTATCGATAATTTCTGTCCCGTCCCTACCCACCATCGAATCGGGACAAGGTAATGCAGTAAACGAAGGAAAATATATCTTCATGTAAGACGGAGATCAACCTCGCTGTTGCCACATGAGATTTTATTCAGATTTTAATATGGACTGGATACCTTTAAGGATATTATGTTGATACAGCGGCCGTCCGCGACTTCGTACGCGTGGATCCCGTTTCACTCCCTTAGGAGTGGAGTTTCGTAAAATTCTTTCTTAGCGGATGCCTACGTCATTACATCTAGCTGCATGCCAAATTTCAGCCCGATCCGTCCAGTGGTTTGGGCTGTGCGTTGACAAATCTCTATGTCAGTCAGTCAGTCAGTCACCTTTGAGTTATATGTATGTGTATGTGATTTTGAGAAGGTTATGCAAGTTGATGACCTATGCAATTACAACACTGAGCGTTTTGAGTCCTTATCAAAAAAACAGTCTTGTAACTGTATTAATGGCCTTCAGCCCACTATAATACCAAAGTCTATTCAAACTGAGCCGGCGCAGGACATATTATTAATTGAATCCCAAACTAATGAAACTGCCTTGTCTAAAAAAATTAGTGATACCGGTAATGGAGGG